GTTTTACAGTGTATGACAGTGTGTGACAGTGTGTTACAGTGTTTTACAGTGTATGACAGTGTATGACAGTGTGTTACAGTGTTTTACAGTGTATGACAGTGTGTTACAGTGTTTTACAGTGTATGACAGTGTGTGACGGTGTGTAACATAGTGTGACAGTGTTTTACAGTGTGTGACAGTGGGTGATAATTATCTGAAAATAATCTGATGATTATCTGTGTGTCTCTGTGTGTCTCTGTGTGTCCCTCAGGGGATCCTGGGTTCAGGTTTTGCTCTGAAGGTTCAGGAGCAGCATCGACAGAAACACTTTGAGAAGAGAAGAAATCCAGCAGCTGGACTCATACAGGTGATCTTCCTCCTCCTCTTCTTTATCACTCAGTGAAGACATGTTGACATCATCCAGTCCCATCGTCTCTATCCATCCAGACCAAACGTCCATAAATCCTCTCAGTCGTCATCTTTCAGTTTCCTTCAGGTGACGGTTTCTGTACGTCTCAACAGGAGCTGCTCGCACATCATAATCAGATCACGACTAAACACCGCCAAGTAACAAACTAACTTTCTATACGTTTGGGATTTATAAAAACAAACTGGTGGTAATTCTGAGTCACACGTACGAACAGGAAGTGGAGAAATGAGAAACTGATTTGGACAGAAACATCAAACTGTTCAAATTCACACCATCGTCTAAAATTAATCAAAATATTGTTCTGAAGTTTTATAAATAGTTATGTTCTTACATGTTCCTATGAATGATTAATTTGAGCATTCACCATCAGCCACATCATCAGCATTCACCGCCACATCGTCAGCATCCACCGTCATATCGTCAGCATTTTCCGCCACATCGTCAGCATTTTCCGCCACATCGTCAGCATCCACCGTCACATCGTCAGCATTTTCCGCTACATCGTCAGCATTCACCGCCACATCATCAGCATTCACCGCCACATCGTCAGCATTCACCGCCACATCATCAGCATTTTCCGCCACATCGTCAGCATCCACCGTCATATCGTCAGCATTTTCCGCCACATCGTCAGCATTTTCCGCCACATCGTCAGCATCCACCGTCACATCGTCAGCATTTTCCGCTACATCGTCAGCATTCACCGCCACATCATCAGCATTCACCGCCACATCGTCAGCATTCACCGTCACATCGTCAGCATTTTCCGCCACATCGTCAGCATCCACCGTCATATCGTCAGCATTTTCCGCCACATCGTCAGCATTTTCCGCCACATCGTCAGCATCCACCGTCATATCGTCAGCATTTTCCGCCACATCGTCAGCATTCACCGCCACATCGTCAGCATTCACCGCCACATCGTCAGCATTCACCGCCACATCGTCAGCATTCACCGTCACATCATCAGCATGGTTACTGTGATGTACCCGCTTCTTCATATGTTGTTTGTTGCTGTTTCCATGGAAACGATCACCTGCTTTCTGTCACTGCAGGCGGCATGGAGGGTTTATGCCACAAATCTGAGCCGAACTGATCTGACTTCAACCTGGGATTATTATGAAAGGACAGTGTCTGTCCCCATGTACAGGTGAGACTCCACCTGCAGAGACCCCCCCCCCCCCCCCCCCCCCCCCCCCCCCCCCCCCCCCCCCCCCCCCCCCCCCCCCCCCCCGATGAGCTGATCTCCAAATGACATGTTTTATATCAGTTTAGTACAATAAGGAGCACCATCCAAAAGTTTGGACCTCTGAGCAGTGAGACCTCTGAGCAGTGAGACCGCTGTCCCCAGGGTCTCTTGTTGACAGTGATGGTGAGGACGGAGTAGGTGACTCCTGACAGCTTGTCCCAACACTCAGCAGCCATGGGCTCCTCTAAACAGCTGCCTGCACTCTGAACACTCAAAGACCTGATGTAGACTAGAGGAAGATAGCAAAGTGTTTTTAGGGAGCTGTTCTCTCACTTGGTCATGTCACTAAGAAATAGACATTAACAGGAACTGTGGAGGTCAAGCTGAAAACTGTGTGAAAAAGGAAGAGTGGTGGTGCACTGTTGTACTGAGCAGACACACCTGGACAGGTATGACCTTCATGGAAGAGTCATCAGAAGAAAACCTCACCACTAAATTCAGCCTCACAGGTTTGTGAAGGAACATCGAGACAAGCCTGATGCTTTCTGGAAACACGTCCTGAGGACTGATGAAGGTCAAACAGAGCATAATGAGCAAATGTTGCTGCAAAAAGAGAATGAGTTCAAGTGTCTCAGGCTCTTGTTCACAGTGAGGGTAGAATGGAGCGTGAGATGGATCGGCAGTTTGGTGCGGCGTCTGCAGTGATGTGAGTGCCGGGCCGTCATGGTTCAGACGGAGCTGAGCCAGAAGGCAAAGCTTTCCATTTCCTGGTCCATCTCCGTCCCAACCCTCACCTATGGTCATGAGCTCTGGGTAGTGACTGAAAGAATGAGGTCACAGATACAAGCGTCTGAAATGAGTTTCCTCTGTAGGGTGTCTGGGCTCAGCCTTAGAGATAGGGGGAGGAGTCAGACATCTGGAGGGAGCTCGGAGTAGAGCTGCTGCTCCTTCATGTTGAGGTGGTTCAACATCTGATCAGGATCCTCCTGGTCTAGCTGGTAGGAGGCCCCGGGGCAGACCCAAAACAACCTCGACTTGGGTAACTTGTTGAAAATGGATGGATGATGAGCNTAGAATGGAGCGTGAGATGGATCGGCAGTTTGGTGCGGCGTCTGCAGTGATGTGAGTGCCGGGCCGTCATGGTTCAGACGGAGCTGAGCCAGAAGGCAAAGCTTTCCATTTCCTGGTCCATCTCCGTCCCAACCCTCACCTATGGTCATGAGCTCTGGGTAGTGACTGAAAGAATGAGGTCACAGATACAAGCGTCTGAAATGAGTTTCCTCTGTAGGGTGTCTGGGCTCAGCCTTAGAGATAGGGGGAGGAGTCAGACATCTGGAGGGAGCTCGGAGTAGAGCTGCTGCTCCTTCATGTTGAGGTGGTTCAACATCTGATCAGGATCCTCCTGGTCTAGCTGGTAGGAGGCCCCGGGGCAGACCCAAAACAACCTCGACTTGGGTAACTTGTTGAAAATGGATGGATGATGAGCAAAGGTCTGTTAGTAGAAAAACCTGTTAAAGATGGTTGTGGATGATGAAGAGGAGCCAGCTGAAGGTTTGGACATGCCCCTCATAGTCCCCCAACCCAGAGCCCTTGAATAGAGAGTTGCGTCATCTCCGTTCACCCCACTGGACCATTTTTTTCACAGTGATGGCGGATCACGGAGCCTCTCAATAGTTCCTGGAAGTAAGCGGCACATGCTAGCAGCCAATGGAGTTACAGCAGAAAAGACCGGCTGTGATGCACTTTTAACGGATAAGACGTCTAAAGACACAAATTTTACATTATCAGCACAACTTCTCCAAACTAACACGTGCATTAAAGCTTGTTAGTGGATTATCTCCCATTAAATTAGTAGATTTATAGAATGTTAAAAGATAAGATAACAGATTGGGCTGGAACACTGCATACTGTACACACAGATAATGCTAACCATGAACAGCCTCTTAGTTTTAAATTGTCTGAACCATTTTGTGTAACATTGGGAAGTTAGAGTGCTTCCAGTCCTGATGTTTTGCGAGCCAGTCTGAGTTGTAGTATTGCTGCCTGATTGTTGAGTGAAGGTGAAATGAAACAAAAACATAACTTATGGTCTGTTTTATAGGCTTTGTGACTCTGTTGAGTACCTGTCTATAATATGTCACAGCTCAGCTGATATTACACTGATAGTGAAGTGAGAGGGAAGTTTGAGCTGAATGAGATTTAAAACAAGATAAGTAATTTTGATAAATGAAACATATCAGGCTAATGTAGGAGCAGTGATGCTGCAGGAGCACTGGGTGGTGGAGGAGCAGTGATGCTGCAGGAGCACTAGGCGGTGGAGGAGCA